GACAGTATAGAGGGCAGGGTGATAATAGTGACAGTGTAGAGGGCAGGGTGATAATAGTGACAGTGTAGAGAACAGTGTGATATTAGTGACAGTGTAGAGGGCAGGGTGATAATAGTGACAGTGTAGAGAACAGTGTGATATTAGTGACAGTGTAGAGGGCAGGGTGATAATAGTGACAGTGTAGAGAACAGTGCTATGGATGGTTGTATTTATCAATGAAACTTTGATACACTCAATGAATATTTGAATAGTCTTTGAAAAAAACATTTTAGTTAGAAAGCTCACATTTTTAACAGAATCGTGTCAACAGTTTCCATTATTAAGCTGTGACTAGGTTTAGTATATTTCAGCAAATTTAAGGGACACAACTCACTAAAGAAAAGTCTTTGCATTTGAAATATATCTAAAAAAATCCAATGAAAGCAAATTAAATAAAATCAAATCAACAAATAAATTAAACCTATTCAATTAGCTAGTAGACTTGAACACAATCCAGTCACATTGTGATACACAAAACGCTACAATTAATCACTTCAATGATGTGGAATTAACTATGACGCTTCACTTAGCCATAATAATGTTTGCGTTAGTGAGCTTACTACCAAGCTCTAACAGAGTATATAAAAGTATATGATGTCTTCTGTCTTCTGATTCTATAACACACCAGACTATTTTGAAACAGTTTGACTATATGAAATATTTTCTAGCCAAGTGGCGCCCCCTCATGGCCAAAATTGTAATGCTTAGAAGAAACAAATTAAACAGTGACACAAAGTGCAATGACAATTCAACAGATCAGAAACAGCTTTAACGCTGTTAGATTGACAAAATATACACCAAATATCTGTCAACGTTTGACAAATATATAACAATGTCCCATTGTACCAAAGAATATAACCTACAGCAGGGGAAAGACTTTGAAATTGGAGGAACAGAAATTAATAATTTAAATACAAAGGTCTATTTATTGGGGGAACAAATGAATCTGAATTAAATATTGGGGGTACATGTCCCCCCTGTTTCCCCCAGTTCCTATACCCCTCAATCTAACAGCTACTTAGAAAATGAGTTGAATGACCATAGAAAAAATACAGACATGATTGTTAGGCCAACACTTAAAGCTAAAGGTTTCACTGGGGGCTCCTGTGCAGACACATTAATATCAATCCCACTGTTAACATTAAATGAGGCACAACATAAAACCCACCCTAAAATGCTCAGTATTTAGGTAACAAATCACTTCTTGTTAATGATATGGTGCTGGATGCTGGTGCAGATCTGTGCTGTTTAACTGAGACCTGGTTCAGACCCACAGACACTATACCTCTTCCTGAGCGCTTCACCTGACGGGTTTACTTTCACACAGGAAGCACGTGGTTCTGGGCGTGGGGGCAGCCTGGCGGCTGCTTTTAACTCACTCCTAAAAATTGAACCGGAAATCATAAAAGATTTCACAATATTCAAAGCAGTGCTACAGCAAATGGGGTCTGACCTGCCCATTACGTTGTTATAGTATATCTCAGCAATTACAGGCAACATACCGATTTATCTAATGTTCTGAAGAGATAGTCACAACTCAACTTCAGTCATTCTTGGAGACACAACATGCTGGACAGATTTCAGCTCAGCTTCACTCAGGGACGTGGCACTGAGACTGCCTTAACTAAAGTCATAAACGACATGACAATGGCAGCTGATGTATCGGAAGAACTTGAATTACCGTTTGCAGGATTATACTCTTATTATTATTTAATAAAAAAAAATAAAATTTTGTGGTCTCTCGGCACAACCTCTCTGGTGGAGAAGGCACAGAAGCGGGCGGCTCTGCCTCTTAAGGATACTGAGGAAGGCTGACGTGTGTGGAAAGCTCACTCACCTGTGGCGTCCTGCTATGCTCTGCTAGCTGCTCCGTGGCTGACAAGCAGACCCTCCAGGAAGTCATCAAATCAGCACAGAACATTACCAACACCCAGCTACCTTCACTACAGGACATATACAGAACCCGGTGTCTTTGACTGGCCACGAAAACCCAAGAACTGAGCTCAGTTAAATAACTGTCCATTGCATCTAAGTGCCCCCCCCCCCATGTCTTTCACTGTCACCCAGGGCATCAATGGGACATAAGTGCAATATCCTGGGGACTCATCACAATTATTGTAAATAGAACCACTCCAATACTATCTATATACTCCCACCTTGTATAGACATGCACACAGAAACACTGTAAGTTTACTGGCCCATATTGCTCATGATTTTACTCTGTATGTGTGTGTAGCTTAATATGCAGAGCTATGCTAGTGTTGTGTTGAATCATGTGATGTGTTGTGTTTCAGGGGACACGCCTAATTTCGTTGTACATTCATGCAATGATAATAAACTGCATTCTATTCTACTCTATTCTTTTAGAATGATACTATTCTTAGCCGGGTTCTGTTGAACCAGTATCAGAATGTATTTACATGTATTTACATGTTAATTTTCACTCCTATGCGGACAACACCCAACTTTTTGTCATTCAATGCAAACAAAACTGAGGTTCTGTTGTTCGGAGGCAAGAGCGCGGACAGGCCTGCTATATAATCTCCACGCTCAGCGCTGAGAGGCTGAACTTCCCCCTAAGCAGCAGAACCCAGGACCTAGTTGTCACCTTAGATACAAGCATCTCGTTCAAACTGCATATAGATGCAGTATTGAAGGCCTACACTTACAGTTATATAACATTGCCAAACTACAACGTTTTCTTAGTATTCAAAACACCAAGAGACTAATACATGCTCTTGTATACAGTAAGTTAGTCTTATAGTACACACCGCACATTAAACACCTGGCAACATATTCACTGACTTCAAACGTATGCACTGACTCTTCATCACCCCATATATAAATAAAGTAACAGTTGGAGGTAAAGCCTTCTGCTACAAGGCCCCTATATTGTGGAACCGTCTCTCAACTCATGTTTGAGATACATAATTAGTCTCAGTCTATAAACCTTGAGAGACGGCCTTTATCTGAACCCCTTGAGGTTAATTTGCAGAAATAGAACATTTCTCACCACTGTTATGCTGAATCCACACAATTATACATTCCACTAAAACGTAAAAATGGCTCAACGCTGGAATTGGTCATCCTGCTGTCCTGGAGGGTTAAAGACCTGGATAGGGTAGGAATTTTCTTTAGTTAAATGAAACTAAAATTGAAATTTTCTTTGGTTCGTCTGGCACAGCAAGCAGCATTAGTACCTGCTTAGGCACCCTGTCTACTAATATTAGCACTCAGGTCGATAATCTTGGTGTCATGTTTGATTCGTCCCTTAAATTTCACAAGCAAATTAAGGTAGTGGTTAAGGGGAGTGTTTCTTTCCACCTCAGAGCCATTGCAAAACAAATCTATCATGGAAAGACCTAGCGACAAGTCATACATGTTTTTATTTCTTCTTGGCTGGATTTTTGTTATTCCCTGTACATACGTATCCCTCAAACGTTGTTATCCTGTCTTCAGCTGGCGCAAAACTCCGCTGCCAGATCCTGACTCTTACCAGAAAGAAAGAGCATATTCCTCCTGCATTGTCTTCACTGCACTGGCTGCCAGTCAGATATAGGCTCCATTTTAAAGTCTTATTGTCTTTAAGGTGTCACATGGACTGCCAGTCAGATATAGGGTCCATTTTAAAGTCTTATTGTCTTTAAGGTGTCACATGGGCTGCCAGTCAGATATAGGGTCCATTTTAAAGTCTTATTGTCTTTAAGGTGTCACATGGGCTGCCAGTCAGATATAGGGTCCATTTTAAAGTCATTGTCTTTAAGGTGTCACATGGGCTGCCAGTCAGATATAGGGTCCATTTTAAAGTCTTATTGTCTTTAAGGTGTCACATGGGCTGCCAGTCAGATATAGGGTCCATTTTAAAGTCTTATTGTCTTTAAGGTGTCACATGGGCTGCCAGTCAGATATAGGGTC